GTCATGGTTTGCAGAATACTAAAAACTGCATTTTTACGGGTTTTTTTCCACCTGTTTGCAGTAAAAATGGAATATCTCAGCGTGGAAAAGGTTTTGGCGTCTAAAATTTTTTTCATAACCACAGTTTCTCACGGCGAATCGAATGGTGTAAGCTTCAAACAAAAAAAAATTTCATCATGTTATGACCTATCAGGAAAATCCTCGATGCTGTCAGAAAGTCTCTCTTAACATCAATTTTACGACAAACCAATGTGTAGGAAATCAAAAATATTTCACCAGTAGCTGTGATTTGATAACAATCAGGAATATCAAATGAAGCAGAAGCAGGAAGAACTGATGTTAATTGTCGTCGTGCTTGATTTAATCCTGATTCTAGAAACGATTATTAAGACATGTCCGAAGTTTGTAAAAATATAATCTTACGTCTAGCACCAAGCACTAGAATACTTGCAAGCGTTTCTGATGAGAATTGAGTTTTAGCAATTTCTTCAGCGTATAGTTTCGATATTGGTGCTGTTTCATTTATAACGCGATCCTTGAGAATTTTTCGAAAGCATTGGACTTCAAAATCTTCTGGTTCAAGTAGACGATTATGGTCACCACTCGAGCTCAAAAAATTATCATTTGGATCAGTATGAACCTTAGCTTTACAATTCTTGGTTTTACAGATCCAACATATTTTCGAAGTCGTTTGTTTATTACATTTGTAAATAAAATCATCCCGAATCAATTGTCGATAACCTTTGTTGGAATCAAGAAAATATATAGCACTTGTATTAATAGACATCCTACAGTCGACGAATTAAGTGACGAAAGTGCAAAACTGTGTATTGAAATACCTAGAAGGAGCGAAATATATAGCATGCCATAAAACAATGCTGCGAAAAAAGAGAACGTGAAAAAAAGACGTCTCTATTTTTCTTTTTGTGTTCTATATGTATCTTGCACATTGAAAAACACTCTTGTCTCTTCTGGTCAGCCGAGAAAGAATGTAAAATGTAAGAAATTGTAAATACATTTTTTAACATCTCAAAACTTTTGACTTTTTATGTGATCAACATTTTTTTCTTCGACCAAAAATGCTTCAGCATTTATTTTTCAATATTTTTTCCTTCTATATTTATTTTTTGATATTTATTTTTCGACGTTTTTGCTTTCGACATTATCATATCCATTCTGTGTTTCGAGTAAAAACGAAATAGTGCTGTAAGTTCGAATTACTGGCATGTTATTTTTTTTTCAAATTTTCTTTTTTTTCTTCATATAGCCGTGAATCTCAGCTACTAATGTTAGGAGAAACTTTTTATTAGATCTCAATCATTCGGAGATTTATCGTCATCGTTGATGAGTGCTGCAAATGAACGTCTCTTTCCCCTGATCCTGTCACGGCCAGTATTTTATTATAAATACTGGTATGCTAAATCATAGGGTGAAATTTTCAGGGGGATTCAAGAGACCATACCTCTGCAGCTGTGATACAATTTTTGAGCTTTGCGCGTCATATTTATGAAGAAAGTGAACAAAAGGAGAAGAAACCGTAATTCCATCACGCTTATTCAGGTCTTAATATAAAATGCGACGTTTACTGAGAAGTTTTCTAATCGTATAGAGCTATCGACTGTTCTAGCTCAATTATTACAAATAAATTAGTTATTGACCAATGAGAAATAATATCACCGTTTTGAATTCAGTTGGTAGAATCCGATTTTTTAGCCGAAATAGTATGTGTTTAACGTCTGGTTTCATAAGTAATAGGAAATCATAAATTGAAGTAAAATACGCAGATACTAGATGAGAAAAAGGAAACTCCTTCTTCTCCTCCTTCGTTCAGACGCTTTTGTTTTTCGTTTCTTCCTGTGAGGGTCACAACTGACGGTACGGCGATAAAAAGATTTTTGTAAAAGCATTTTCTCGAGAAACTGTAGAAATAGATAAAATCTTTAATTCGTCACCATTCCATTTATATAGTTTACTAACGAATACTACGTCTACACTAGTTACACATAGTTTGTGCAATCACTTGGTCTTGTGAAAACAAGACAAATGAATGATACATTCGTTTTTAATTTTTCTTTCTTTCTTTTCTGTGTGAATTGAAAAACATAAACTTATTTTTTGTTGTTGACGAATGAGAGCAGAAAAAAAATGTTTTTACCAGAACATGTCAATTAGCTGTAGCTGTATCATTTTTCATAGAAAAGTTTATTCTGCTTCTAATTCCATTTTGATGTGAGTCTTTTTTTCAGATGACATCAGCAGCTACAACAATCGGCGCCTCTGATACTACTACACCAACTACAACAACAACAACAACAACAACGACGACGACAGTTTGTTGTAACATTGATAAAGAATGTTTGATTAAATATGTGACTGTGTACAATGATGGAGCCGAAATAGCACGTTCATACAATACACAATTTGATTTGGAAGGAAGATATGGATCAATACTGAGGTGGATTTTCAACCCACGTCGATCAGCTTTCATTTCATGTCAAAGGGGGCACGGGAAAAGCAACAATTTTTGAAGTATCATATCATACACGCTACGAAAAACAACAAATAGATATAACAGCAGCTGAAACAAAACGTGAACAAATGCAAGAGCAAGTACACGATTTAGATAATGATATTGCACAACGTCATCAGGAGTTAGATCGAACAAATAAAAATATTAATTAGTCAGATGGTCGTGCAAAACATTTAATGAACAGTACTGAAAAGAATGATAATTCTCTCAACAGATCGAACAATTCTTAGATTTTTATTATTAAAAGCTGAAAACATTTGACGAGAGCAAAATGATTGAAGAACATAAGCTGAAATCTTTGAGTGAACAACGTGAGACTTTGATAAAAGACTTAAAGACATATGGCACAACATTATCGTCAACAGTAGGAAGTAAGCATCATGAAGTTACAATTTTGTTGAATGTACAAGATAAAAATTGCTTGGTTAATGTAGAAATCTCCTATCTTATTTTAAATTGTACATGGAAACCCAGTTACGATGTACGAGTGATCAGCGAAACTAAACTAGGACCTCGAACAGGTATAGTGAAGATATTGTTTATACCGGATTTTGTAGAGTGGAAACGCGCTATAAACTGACGATAAAAGAATTAAAAGAATACCGTTGTTGTTTGAGAAAAAATATATTTTCGAGTAAAATTTCAAATTTTCATTTTTCATACGTTTCACTAAAACTTCTGTAGCAGGTCAAGAAATACAGTACCACCGCCAAACTTTGTCAAAAATTGCCTGATACTTAACTCTATCTAGCAACACAATTTGAGTCTTCAATGCCGGGCGCATCAATCAGAAAAAAATTCAACATTGAAAAAGATATGTTATTGATCATTTTTGGTCTTAAAATTGATTTTTCTCATTTTTATTACGTCCTTTTGTAAAAATAAGATAATATTCTTGATCCTCGAACAAAGCAGAATCGAATGGTATATTATACGAATATAGAAAAAGAAAAAAACAATTAGTCTTGAACTCCTATAAAAAACTTAGAAACAATTTCGTAAACCTATCTAGTTTTTTCTTTGGAAAGATAGAGCCGATTTTTGCACTTCATTAGAACCGCCATTAAACGACCTTTAAAACTACATACCTCTCTTTCTTCCATCGTGCTTTGTCATTGAGAAAGTTCATATTTTCCAGATAAGAGGCACAAAAGTCGGAATTCTGCCGGTATTCTCAATTTTAATTATCAGAAATCAAGTTTTATGGAATAAAAAGATCATATTGGGAATCAGCATCCCAAAGTACGTCGAATGATATATATTTCAAAACCTTTTGTTTATTTTTATTTTTTGGTGAGAATCTCAGGAATTTTCCAACGTAGAAATTCGAAAAAAATCAAAGTAGTCGGATAGACTAACAAAGTACATCATTCGACGTAGTTTGGGACATACTTTCAAACCAAAAATCAAACATGGTTAGATGCGCAATAAAATTCTCTATCGAACCTGTTATTCAGCTTTTTGATACTTTCAAATTTTTAAATCGGAATCGGAAGCGCAAAAATCGGAAATCTGCCGGTATTCTCAATTTTAATCATCGGGAATCAAGTTTTATGCAATAAAAATATCACATTAGGCAGTTTTTAACAAAGTTTGACGATGGTATTGTATTTCTTTGACCTGCTACAGAAGTTCTAGTGAAACGTATGAAAAATGAAAATTTGAAATTTTACTCGAAAATATATTTTTTCTCAAACAACAACGGTATTCTTTTAATTCTTTTATCGCCAGTTTATAGCGCGTTTCCACTCTACAAAATCCGGTATAAACAATATCTTCACTATACCTCCTTACTGAGTTGAAAAACGTTTTTCATCTCATGTCAGTAAATGGTCAAACTTTTTAAAAAGTTATTTTTTGAGGAAGGATCATAGTTTCAAACTAAAAATCAAATATGGTTAGACGCGCAATTAAAATCTGTATCGAACCTGCTATTCAGTTTTTGGTACTTTCAAATTTTAAATCCGGCAGGGTCCTTTTAATGCGTTCGTCGAGCAGACAATGCTTTTTGTCTTCTCATAGTCTCTATCTGAAAAGGAAAAATCAGTATGAAGTTTTGGTAGTAAATTCAGCGGAAATACACATCAAATTTAGCTTTTTGTTCTCTCATCTAAATACATTTCATTTTCGATATTACGCAAAGACGAAGTGCGTGTATGTCACACAGAACAGTTATTCTTTCTTTTTCCCAAAGCATTGTTATATAGAATGCACAGGTGGCGTATATAAGTATAAGTTACACAGAAACTCATACATTGAATCGTTTATATAAGTCACATGTGTATTCTATATAACAATGTTTTGGAAAAAAGAAAGAATGGCTATGGGTGTGACATACACGCACTGCGTCTTTTCTTAACATGGTGTGGAGATCATTTCTCTTCGTTTTTCTGCAGTTTGTGTTTTCAGTTGCGTTCTGCAGTTTGTGTTTTCACTAATACTGTAGACCTAAAGCAGTCACATTAGGGTTCCAACAGTTTCCAAAACAATTTCACGATAATATTTTGTTGCTAGGGGAATATTTAACTGAACCTAAATCCGATTGGCACGGAAATGGTTTCAGATTGAAGAGATCCATCAGAGCCGTGTTTGTACAAAGTATTGAATGAAATCGACGTATATTCAACAAGAAAAATTAATTTTAAGTCATCTGGCGCTTTTTCGTTACAGAAATGAAAAAAACAGGTTTTAGGGCGCATCATGTAGAATTTGTGTAAAAGCTCTCAGCTAAACCAGACTCAAATTAGATAATTCCTTCGAGAATTGAACGCTCTATCCAGCCATATAAAAAAGAACAAGATTTATATGTGTAGCGGATTATAATTGCCAGAGAAAAATACCAAAAATCCTATGGAAAAAACTTTTTCAAGGCTTTTAGAATTCACTAAATTCTCGGCCAATACGAGGAATAAATCAGTTACAAAATATACAGTTCGACAGACCAATGAATGCTCTATCCGGCCATATAAAAATAAAAACTTGACAGAAATTCAGTCAACTGAGAAAAACTGTTTGAAAATATGTGAATCAAGCTGTGTGCACTCGGATTTGTGAGTAGAATATTATTTATATTTCCTAATAAAGTGACATATCTGGAAAGAGCAATACATGAAACCATAAATCACCTGCATGATAATTGCCAACACGACCGCACCCAATAACAATAACAAACATATCCTTGGACCACTTGCAAGAAAGGTGAATATGCTTTCGACAGTTGGCAATGCCTTCCCACCTGCAGCCAACCCGCCATTAATTATTTGTTGCGCTGCTTCCAAGGTGGTTTTGTCATTTGAATCGCTGTCAAAAGCAGGTTCAACTCTTCCGAAATGCACATGGTTGTTAGAGCCATCTGTTTTCACACTATAGTCCGTATCGCGACCACCGATATTCGTCTGAATAAGCGGCATTCTTGTTCTTTTAAAATGTGTGAATTAATACGACTCTTACACTAACGAAAATGATTCCAAAATGAATAATAAGTGAAAATACAGCGTGATTATGTATATGTTTCTTATCTGGAAAACGAAAGTTTTTTTCGGTAACCTGTATTACTTTTCTAAGACGTCTATGTAAACAGTTGTGTCGAGGAGTACTTTTCATCGCGTGACCTCGTTTGTTTATTTTTTATAATATTGCTGATAAGTCATTGTTCAACCAAGAATGTATTAAACCAAAGTGGTTTAGAGTGATGACATATGAGTTTAGCTAAACTCATATCTCATCACCAAAGAACTCTGGATGTTTCAACTGCAATGGATTTTGTCGTGAATTGTTCCAGGAACAAGTATAGAGTACTGGTTCTAGCAGCTGAGAAAAATATGAGTTATTTACAAGCGGGAAAATCTCACTTCAGTTGTGTGCACTTATGACTGAAGTGTCACTTGAAGTGACAAAGTGATACTCTAAGAGTGTGAGTCAATTTTAGAGCGAACGCAGTATTAACTTATATTTTGTGCTTTTTTGACTGTTTCTCACTTCTCTGCAGAAAATCGCGGTCCGAACTTTGAACCTTGTTTTAAGAAGAATTAGACTTTGGTTAAAAACCAACAGTCGGATATACCTACTATCGGCACTAAAATTCAATGCAACGGTTGTTTTTCGAATAAGTCTATAACGATAAAAGATAGGGACTAGCGATTTTCAACAATCGAAAGAAGACAGTTTAATGTATGTTTTCATAAGCAAACCCTTTTCCGAAACCATTCGGAAGACTTTATAGGAGATCTTTGAAAAACCACTTCGGATCTCCGAAAACTGAGCTGGCAATCTATCAGTTCTTTTCCATAAATAGATAGTCCAAAGTGTCCTCTCCCAAATGCGAACTAAGCCAACTGTGAAGTTTTCGCGGTTCAGGCGTGGCATCGGATTTCCTGAGAGTCCCGGGATTAATATTTCTTTAGGTGTGGTAATTCCAAAAATAATGGAAGCAGAGGTAATCAATCAGAATCTTGTGGTAATATTCGTTTTTCAGAAAACCTCCAAAAACCTAGTGGAAACCTATATTAGGTGGAATAACTCATTTTTGCCCATTTTCGAGTATAATTAAAAATTCATAATCCAGTCAAGATCCATCCAAATTATGTCAGAATATGACCGTGAACTCTATTTTACCTGCTCAATACTATGCAGTTGAATATACGGCATTATTTGATTCATTCTCCTTAACATCAGGGCTGGTATATCACCGTTTAGTGAACCTAGCATGAGACTTTGTGGTTCTTTTTGAAAATAAAACTTATAAATTAACTGTAAAATTTATCTCTTATCTTAACGATTCATCGATGATTTTAAACGATAATTCCGGCACGAAACGATTCTTGACGTGACACCGCTTTGAATGATATAAATTTCACCCATAGATATTGTCGTTTACACTTGATTCGATAATCTAAGCTGAAATTCATGCCGGCTAAGGTGACTAAAGCAAAAAGAAAAGCGAAGATTAAGAGACCACAGATGCTCAAATCGGAACAGGATCTCACATCCCTATCAGATACAACACCGAACAACGCAGAACTGATAAATAACACCAAAAAATGCAAAAAATTTATTGAAAAAGTGGTCAAATTTTCGAAAACACTGCCCACTAGACCGGCATTGTTGAATGATGCATTCGATGAAACTATAGATTTTCTGTAAGATCCCGCTGTAATCGAAATTCGATGTAATAACGGTATAAAAACAAAACAAAAGACGAAAATAGCCCCTCAGCAATTGTCATTCACAACAATATGTAGTACTGATAAATTCTTTCCCACTAACCAGCGAAGTCTTATACCATTGACAGTGGTTTCAAAAGAAGCGGAACAATATGCGCATACATTTGGTTTTCCTCCGATTCGAATAGTACCATCCAACAACAATAACAGTCGCCAGAATGTTCGATTAAATGGAGATACTGTTGCAGCATTCTTGAATCAATTGAAAATAAATGAAAAAGTTCCATTTCGTGTATCACGTTGGAGAATTAGTAGTGGAAACTTGTTGTTGTACGCCAGCGATCGAGATTCATTTGCTTGTTTATTGGACGAAAAAGTCTATCCTCATTTAATCAGTACCTGTTATTATCGTATAGAACTTCCCAAAAGATTACCAGCGCAAATGTCGCTACTGATATTGGGTGTCATACCCGAATGCGAATGATATTTTTACGGATGTTCAGTACTATTACCCGTCAGTGAACAATGTGTATTGTCAACCTGCGTACAAGTGAACAACACCGAAGAACGTACGTATAAATTTTTTCTCAGGTAAATACCAGGAATGTAGAAGAAGAGGAAAAATTAAAATCGGTAATTGAGATTTGACTGTCAAAGAATTTTTTTCGACGCCAAAGGTTCTATTCTGCAACAAAGGCAACAGCTTTGGACATTATCGACGGAATTGTAACTTACATATGATTGTTTGTAATCTACCTTCAATGTTGATAGTTTGTGCATGCATGTGTGACCGTTGCGAAATCCTAAATTTCGTTACTTTTCTCGACAGTAAGGAAGTAACTAGATTAGTTACTTAGTTACTTAACAAATAGTAACTATATTAGTTAGTCGTTACTGGCAACGAGTAACTACATTCGTTACTTCTTCACCAGTAACGAGTAACTAAGTTCGTCACTTTACCTGATAAAGTAACGCCGAATACCTAGTAAAGTGCCACCCCAAATCATCGCCAATAAACGCGATACACTTAACCTTGGACTGGCGTAATCAAAAAAGATTCTGAGCTTTTCTTTTAGTGCCTTCAAAACTCGACCGTTTTCACCACTAATTGACACTAGTTGTTTGTTTTCTGCGACAAAACCATCAAAAGTGTGCCTCAAGGTGTGATGTGATGCCAAAAGCACATCATACGTTCTCTCTGGGCATGATAAATATGCTTGCGCAATAAAGCATAACACATTAATCAATCAATCAGTTAATTTTAACACAAATGTGTCTAGGAGGCTACAAAAAAGAAAAACTTAACTGACTGTGACGCCTATGAGGAGCGTGTGTAGAATGTAGGAAAGAGCATTCTCATTTGCAGATATTAAAGCAAAACGTACGTGCATAAGTTAATGAAAAAGCAAAAACACACTGATCGTAAAACAACTGCTAACACCGAGACCATCGAAGCAATGGAACAAGAAAATGGTAACAACGTTAATGCATTAGATTGCCATGCTATTAGCAGCTTGCCTGCAGATGAGGTGTGTATTTACGATTTGATTAAGCTTTCTTTACGTATATTTCATTGTCCAAATGTCAACTCATGCTGTTGTCGAGTTCTAGCCAATCGCGTCGGTGTGAATCACTCGCATTCACTCTTACATTTTCGATAATTCCTCAATAATTCTTAATTGCCACAGACCACTCATCTCTACCCACACTGAAAGTAATTGATCTTTGATTTTGAAGTATCGACACTCATTACGAACGATTGTGACTAGTCACGAAACAAAGATAAGACTGGCGATGAAAGATGTTAGCGTTCAAAACCAGCAGATCACAATCACGCACGACGATGGAATGACGAATGGTCCACGAATAATGATGAGTAAACAAATCGAGAAACAGATTGATCCACCGTACAAGTTTGATAAGTTGAAGTCGAACTCGAACGGAGAAGAAAAATTTGATCAGAAACAAGTGGCACTAGCAGCGGAAGATGGGGATAACACAAATGGTAACTGTCTGCCAAAAAATCTTCGACTAGTACAATCTGTCGATTTGGAACAAAAACGAAAAATCACGGACGCTGTCGACGATATCAAAAACGACCTTAGTCCCATTGTGGAATACGCCAAAGAGCCTTTGCTACCGCTTGCTGAGGCGTGTGCTCCGCTGGACAGCATCATCCACGATTTACCCTTCTACGTTCACCTAGCGCTCGATGAAACTCCAATTCAGCCGCCCGACGGTCTGACTATCGACGAGAGTGCTGCGATTCGCCTCTATACCATCGAGTGGGAAGGAACAAATCGAAGTCTCTATTCAATGCTCAATTATACCCTCAAGAATGCCGATCGCAAGGATCTTCGCCCCTATTTCAAGTATCTCAAACTGTTCGTCACTGCTCTGGTCAAACTGCCATGCGTCCCACCGCAGACCGTCTGGCGGGGAGTAAACATAGATTTGAGTGCAGATTTTCCGCCCGGCACCCTGGTAACATGGTGGGGGTTTTCATCGTGCACGTGTGCGCTGACTGTGCTAGAGAACGACACGTATTTGGGCAATTCGGGCGAACGGACGCTCTTCTCTGTCGAAGCCATCAACGGTCGAACAGTACGTGCTCATTCGCATTTTGTTACTGAAGATGAAATTCTTCTTCTGCCCGGCACCTACATGGAAGTTCAATCACAATTTAGTCCGGCGCCCGATCTGCACATCATTCACTTAAAACAAATACAACCGGTCGAAACACTTCTCGAACTTCCGTTCGAAGGTATCTTATATATCAAGACATAGACTGACGTCTCATCTGTTCATCTTTAGGTGCTCACCTCTATCCACCAGAGAAGAAAAAAGTGCCGTGGTACAAGAAACGACGGATAATCTGTGAACTTAGCCTGCTGGTCATTCTTTGCCTTATCGGCATCAGTGTTGGTTTAGTGCTCGGCACAAGACGTTCGTTACCATCGAGTATGTGACACAAACGTTGTATCACAGAATCTTCTGTTTTTCTTGCTGAGGCTGACGAAGCGGGAGAAGCGGGCTCCACACAATACCAGAAGATGGTATTGACTGTAACCACACGGATATCAGAAACAACAGTGCTGGTATTTCTAGCCGGAAACTAACACATCAAAACTCTCTTCCTCCAAACTGGAAACTAAACCCGCAAACCTCTTCCCTCTCACTTTAGCATGTACTCCCAGATTCCTAACTGGTGTGAAATATGCCACTGCAAGATATCCAATTTCCGTGACAACAGCTGATTTCAACGGTGATCACAGAACTGATTTAGTTGTTGCAAATTATGATGATCCCATCGTCAGTATGTTTCTCGGTAACGGGGACGGGACATTTCAAACTCAAATCACGTATGCCACTGGACCGTTTCCAATTTCTGTGACAACAGGTGATTTCAATGGTGACAAAAGAACTGATTTAGCTGTTGCAAATTCTGGTGATAACACTGTCAGTATACTCCTCAGTGACGCCGACCAAATATTTCAAAGTCAACTCACATACACCACTGGGAGTTCTCCATATTTTGTGACAGTAGGCGATTTCAATGGTGACAAAAGAACTGATTTAGCTGTTGCAAATTCCCGCGATAACACCGTCAGTATACTCCTCGGTAACGGGGACGGGACATTTCAAATTCAAATCACATATGGCACTGGCCGGTTTCCAATTTCTGTGACAACAGGTGATTTCAATGGCGATAACAAACCTGATTTAGCTGTTGCAAATTCCGTCGAGAGCACCGTCAGTATACTCCTGGGTAATGGTGACGGAACATTTCAAAGTCAAGTCGAATATAACACCGGGAATTCTCCACATTCTGTCACAACAGCTGATTTCAATGGTGATCAAAGAACTGATTTAGCTGTTGCACATTACGGTGATAGCACCGTCAGTATATTGCTCGCTAACGGCAACGGCACTTTTCAAAGTGAAGTCACATATGGCACTGGGTATTATCCATATTGTGTGACAACAGGTGATTTCAATAGTGATAATAAAACTGATTTAGCTGTTGCAAATTTCGGGGATAACACCGTCAGTATACTCCTCGCTGATGGCGACGGAATATTTCAGAGTCAAGTCAAATATACCACTGGGAATTCTCCATATTGTGTGACAACAGGTGATTTCAATGGTGATCACAGAACTGATTTGACTGTTGTAAATTCCGCTGAGAACACGGTCGGTATATTGCTCGGTAACGGCAACGGAATATTTCGAAGTCAGATCACATATAGCACTGGAATTTCTCCAGTCTTTGTCACAACAAGTGATTTCAATGGTGATAACAAAATTGATTTAGCGGTTTCAAATGCCGGTGGCAGTACTGTCAGTATAATGCTCGGTAACCGCAACGGAATATTACAAGAACAGGTTAATTACAGCACCGGGGCTCTCCCATATTGTGTGACAACAGGTGATTTTAATGGTGACAACAGAAGGGATTTAGCTGTTGCAAACAGCTGGGATACCACTGTCGGGATACTGCTCGGTAACGGCGACGGAACATTTCAAAGTCAAGTCACATATGACACTGGGAAGTATCCATATGCTGTGACAACAGGCGATTTCAATGGTGATACCACAACTGATTTAGCTGTTGCAAATTCCGGTGGTAATACCATCGGTATATTGCTCGGTAACGGCGACGGAACATTTCAAAGTCAAATCACATATGCCACTGGGAATTCTCCATATTCTGTGACAACAAGTGATTTCAATGGTGATCACATAACTGATTTAGCTGTTGGAAATTTCGGTGATAGCGCCATCGAGATATTCCTTGGAATTGGCAACGGCACTTTTCAAAGTCAACGCACATATGGCACTGGGCGTTTCCCGTTTTCCGTGACAACGGGCGATTTTAATGGTGATCACAGAAGTGACTTAGCTGTGGCAAATTTCGGTGATGGCACCGTCGGCATATTATTCGGTAACGACGACCGAACATTCCAAAGTCAAGTCACATATGACACTGGGAAAGCGCCAATTTCTGTAGCAACAGCTGATTTCAATGGTGATCACAGAACTGATTTAGTTGTTGCAAATTCCGGTGAAAATACTGTCAGTATATTGCTCGGTAACAAGTACGGAACGTTTCGAACTCAGGTCAAATATCCCACAGGGAATTCTCCATATTCTGTAACAACAGGGGATTTCAATGGCGATAACGGTACTGATATAGCTGTTGTAAATTACGGTGATAACACCGTCGTTATATTTCTTGGTGTGTGTGACTGAGAAAATGTGTGCTAATCACGAAAAAGTTTAAATTCTCTTATAGCTTTTTTTCAGTTCAACAGGCGTTCGTCCAAAATTTTATTTTAATCAAATTTTAATCATTTTATTTACAAATAATTTATTTTTATCCTTAACTTCCGTCCTTGACGGTAACATTGATTTATGCATCAGGCAATATTGGAATTTTAGTTTTGCCTAGACGAGAAGACCAACGAATAGATACCATGCTCTACTATCCATTTCAAAACAGAAAGGACTGTGGCATGTTTTGCATTTGCAATCGTTGGGGAAACCGATGACTCATAACACGTAATTATATTGCACTCGTTCAAACGCATTAAAAATCTTCATTTTAACGTCTTTGAATTTGTAATGCGAACGAATATCCGCACGTTTCGAAAACCTTCTTTTGACACATTCTAAGTCTGCCGACGGCTTAGTTTTTTCCATTTTATACGAAATAATGCGTTCGGACACATTTCTGGTGTCAGATGCTGATTTAATACCGCATGCACGATTAACGAGCACTATTCTCGACCTGCGATTTTTCCACCATTTTTATTTTTGTAATGCATCCACACGCACTAGGAGCGCAAAATTTTCTCTTTTAGGCGTTCGAATGCCTTATTTCGTAGCAGAAAACTTATTTATGAGACCTTTTCAACAGATTAAATGGACCTGCGAAGGTGAAAAACTTCTTCCGCGTGGCCATAAATAATAAACCAACGTTCTGTCTACAAAAAGTCGTATATAGTTGTGCTTCAAATTTATCTCAACTACTATGTATTTCTTTTCTTGATGGGTGCGGACAGCACTTTTCATGCTCTACCCATTGCACATCTTACCTTTTGCTTTCGACAGAGTCATCAAGGAGGAAATCGCTGATTAGTACCTTGATAATATGGCACCAAGGCTAAACATGAGAAAATGCTGTGGCGATTCGTTTCTTCGCTAACTCCAACTCTATCATTGATGGGTGCACATAGACCTTCCTTCGCTCTATCGGTTGCACATCTTACCTTTTACTTCTGACAGAGTCATCGAGGAGAAAATCGCTGATTAGTACCTTGATCATATGGCACCAAGGGTAAATATGAGAAAATGCTGTGGCGATTCGTTTCTTCACTGGCTCCAACTCCATTATTGATGGCCCCAGATAGAACTTCTCAACCTCTCTAGAACTTCCCTTCTTTTTACTTTCGACAGAGTCATCAAAAAGAAAATCGCCGATTAGTACCTTGATCGTATGGCATCAAGAGTAAATATGACAAAATGTGGTAACAATTCCTTTCTTCACTGACTCCAATTCTATTATTGATGGCTCCAGATGGAGCTTGACGGGTGCAGGTAGAACCTTTCCCGCCAACTCTACTATTGATTTGTGCAGATAGAACGTTTCCTGCTCTATCGATTGCACATCTTACTTTTTACTTCTGACATAGTCATCAAGGAGAAAATCGCTAATTAGTACCTTGATCATATGGCACAAAGCATAGGCGGCGAAACGTTTTCAGCCTAGAGTAGGCTCAAGCTCAACTTTATAGTAGAACTAGTGGATGTAAGAATAAAGGCTGAAAATTGCTATCTCTATTTATTACAATAGCGAATGCTGTGCGTTTCTTTGTTAGACTTTAATTCTGTTTCCAGCTGTAATGGCTATCTAATCCTTTATTTTTTTTCTAGAAAATCAAGCACTAAGACTTCTGAAAAAAGATGTTGAAAAATATTTAAAAAAATCAGTCAAAAAATTCTGGTATAAGGCACCAAAGAAAGTTTTTCTGTTTTGATTTTTTGAAATAAAGTCAAGACAAATCTTGTTCAGATCAAGTGAATCTGATTTTTCCAATGTACAACTATTGATAATGGCTGTATAAATAGGCCGAAATATTTAAAAGTTTTTATCTTTGTATTTTAAAGAATAAAAATAAAATAATAGAAATAAAAGAATTCTCTTAATATAATGGCAATTAAGAGTGTTACAGCCGCATTAGTATGGAAATTTATTTATGCTATTCAAATATCTAAAACTCTAGAATCATTTTAGAAAAGGAGTTTATAAAGAGCAACTAATATATTTTTATTAAAAATAAGAGCCAAGAATTCGAGGTCAATATAGATTCCACCGAGGTCCACTAAATACCTGATTTGACACAAGTTAATACTCGAGAAAACATGGATTGATCCTCGTCATAATGCGTCATCTATTAAAAAACCGTGAAAAGCAACACGATCACTGAAAAGTTTCATCTTAAATTCATAATAAAAAAGCCTTAGATTATTAAAGTTCGAGCCTACCCAAGCCTACCCAACTTCAATCTAGGGTAGGCTTCTGCCTACCCAGGCCTAATGGCTCCGCCGCCTATGGACAAAGGGTTACTATGAGAAAATGCTGTGGCGATTCGTTTCTTCACTGGCTCCAACTCTACTATTGATTTGTGCAGATAGAACGTTTCCCGCTCTATCGACTTACTTTTTACTTCTGACATAGTCATCAAGGAGAAAATCGCTAATTAGTACCTTGATCATACGGCACAAAGGGTTAATATGAGAGAATGCTGTGGCGATTCGTTTCTTCACTGGCTCCAACTCTATTATTGATGGCTCCAGATAGAACTTTCCATGCTCTACCGATTGGACATCTTACTTTTTACTTTTCACAGACTCATCAACGAGAAAATCGCCGATTAGTACCTTGGTCGTATGGCACGAAAGGTAAATAGGAGAAAAGCTGTGGCGATCCGTTTCTTCAGTGGCTCGAACTCTGTTATTGATGGCCTCAGATTGAAGTTCTCATGCTCTATCCATCGCACATCTTAACTTTTACTTTTGACAGACTCAGCAAGGGGAGATTCGCTAATCAGTACCTTCATCATATGGCATCAACGGTAAATATGAGAAAATGCGGTAACAATTCGTTTCTTCACTGGCTCCAACTCTATTACTGCTGATTCCAGATGGAACTTGACGGGTGCAGGTAGGACTTTTCCCGCTCTATCGATTGCACATCTTACCTTTTACTGTTGACAGAGTCATCAAGGAGAAAATCGCCAATTAGTACCTTGATCATATGGCACGAAAAGTAAATAGGAGAAAAGCTGTGGCGATCCGTTCCTTCACTGGCTGCAACCATTAGTGCTGGCTCCAGATGCAACTTTTCATGCTCCATCGATTGCACATCTTAGTTTCTACTTTTGACAGAGTCATTAAGCGGAAAATCGCTGATTAGTACCTTGATCATATGGCACCAGGGGTAAATATGAGAAAATGCTGTGACGATTCGTTTCTTCACTGGTTCCAGCTCTATCATTGATGGCTCTAGCTAGAAGTTTTCATGCCCTACCGATTGCACATCTTACCTTTTACTTTTGACAGAGTCATCAAAGAGGAAATCGCTAATTAGTACGTTGATTATACGGCATCAAGCGTAACTATGAGAAAATCCTGTGGCGATTCCTTTCTTGACTGGCTCCAACTCTATTATTGATGGGTGCAGATAGAACGTTTCATGCTCTATCGATTGCACACCTTACCTTTTACTTGTGACAGAGTCATCAAGGAGAAAATCGCTAATCGATACCTTCATCATATGCCATCAAGGGAAATGTGGAAAAGTGCTGTGGCGATTCGTTTCTTCACTGGCTTCATCTCTATTATTGATGGCTCCAGATAGAACTTTTAATGCTCCATCGATTGGACATCCTACGTTTTACTTTTGGCAGAGTCATTAGGGGTAAAATCGCTGATTAGAATCTTGATCATATGGGAGCAAGGGTGAATATAAGAAAATGCTGTGGCGATTCTTTTCTTCACTGGTTCCAACTCTTTTATTGATGCGTGCAGATAGAACTCTTCATGTTCCATCGATTGCACACCTTTCCTTTTACTTTTGACGCAGTCATCAAGGAAAATCGCTGATTAGTACCTTGATTATGTGGCACTTATGCTGAATATGAGAAAATGCTGTGGCGCTCCGTTTCTTCACTGGCTCTAACTCTATTATTGATGGCTGGAGATAGAACGCTTCATGCTCCATCGATTGCACATCTTACTTTCTACTTTTGGCAGAGTCATCATGGAGAAAATCGCTAATTATCACGTTGATCAAATGGCATTAAGGGTAAACATGGGAAAATGCTGTGGCGATTCGTTTCTTCACTGGCTCCAACTCTATTATTAATGGCACCAGATAGAGCTTTTCATGCTCTATCGATTGGACATCCTACGTTTTACTATTTACTTTTCGTGGTGTGAGATCGACTGTTGCGAAAGGAGGATTGCCACAGTGAAATTTGCTTGGAGATGCGACAGTTTGTGCATTACATAGGAATCCTTCTCTATAATCCAACGAAATATTAAAGTTCAAAAGAGAGAGAGAAACACTGATACATACACATATTCTTGCTTGTTTGTCTCAGCATTAACTAGTGACACTTGACGTTTCCTCATTTTTAGATAAGCATCGGATGCCGTCACGTCGTCGAGGCGTTTGATCATCGCGGTACAGTTGCCGATAGTTTCGACTTCGAACTGTTCAATGTTATCATGACAAGATCTGAAAAGAATTGTTTATGAAGAAGACTTAACGTTGAAAAATATTTACTCACCACATAGGTAACTCTGTACTTGTAACAGTACGTTTTCTACCTTTGCACTCTGGTCTTGAGCATATTATTGTGCTCGAGTGACGTTGTTGACCTTTGATAAAGCAGAAAACGTCTTCATCTAATGATCCAAACATGCTCTTTGTTTGCCGATCAGATGTTTTCAAACGGTTGTGTGTGAGCAGCCAATTAATACGCGCAGCATCCCACCCTTGTGTTTCGACCAGGTGAAAAGTTTTGTAAAGTGCCCCGTACGGTGATTTTTCTGAAGCATTGATAAGTTCTTCGGCGATGTTGAGATCAGTTCGATATAAGACATAAAGAGCAAATAACGCCGAATCGGCATTACACGTATTATTAATTGGGTACGATTGACCTGTAAAAAAGCAAGATTATATAATAGCAAGCATTGCAAGACAGCTATTTAATTCCTTTTGTTAAACTACCTTGAAATAGAGCATTTCGAATTTGAAATTTTGGCCATTGTATTGTGTAACCATCAATAATTGTTTCCGATTGCGGTGAGAGCTGACAAGACGTGTTCTTTGGTGATTGATCATTTGTCACCTTCGGTTCTATATAAAGGTGAAATCTCATCTCTTTATCAGTGACAAATACACGTAATGGTATATACCGTTGATTGAGTGGCGCAAGGCTTTCTTGAGCGGAGAGACGGGATTCGTTCCAAAACTAAATTCACTAGATGCTTTGCTTGATCCAGCACTGTCGGTCGCTGGTCGCTGATTTATCTAAACTCATACGAACATCAAGAGAAGTTTTACTACTTACCGCTGAAGTATTTTCAGACGAAGACTTTGTCTCACTAGGAGATGATGACCGACTATAATTAACAAGACCTTCATTTATATGAAAATAATTTTTTTTCTTACTTTAGAGACGTGTTATCCTCTGTATCATCAGAAGTAGATATTTGCTCATTTGATGAAGAAACTGTTGCACTTTCGTCTGATTCACTAAACACAGATGTAAAATTTGAAGAGAAAAAAGAAATTTCAAAGAGTTTACCTGATTTTTTTTGTAACGCTGTAAGACTGATCTTTGGTTTTCGATCGAGCACGTTTGGAAGCAAATTTGTCGATGATATTGAAATATATACTTCGACGGTTTCGATCAACATTTTTTTTGCCCCATTTCTCCACTACATTCACGTTCTTCTTTTTTCTCTTCCTACCCTTCGAACTCTGTGTCACACTAAATTTATTAGCTTTGAACTGCGCTTGAACGCTTTGATATAGATTAATTATTTTATCCAATGGTCGACCATGAGTTTTTCTTTTAAGTTAAAAATACTCCTTTTCATTGTGCGAAAATAACTTTCAATTAAAGCATTGGAGTGACGAATAGGATTGTATGTTGGTTGTACCGTCTTTTCAATATTTTTTGAATACCGCTCCTCGAAATTCCACAACAAACCTGTCCATAGCGGTAAATATGCCCACCATTTATAAAAAATGCGAATTATTCGTGGAGAAAAGAGTGGATTGATAATTTCATTATATTTAGTTTTCGAATTAATAAGAGTAGTAAGGCTGGGATATAGTCGAATGGCTTCTTCATTGAAAGGTGATTGATGGATGATGGCAGTACTGGAACGAAAATACTCATCGACCGCTTTCAATTGATCTTTGTGTTTTTTAGCTTTTTTTGAATATCTTCTTATCATTGGTTAATAATGACACGCTTTCTTTATCAACGTTGAATTTACGAGCGAGCAGTCGCTCGAAATATTCTTGCGCGTTCTCTTTACTTGGATTACCGAATACGTTGACGATTTAATTTTTTTCTCCATTCCTTTCTTGACACTGACAGGTTATCAGTGACAGCCAATAAAACTTCTCTCCATGTGTCTACCAAAATGTCGCCATGTGCATACGATGCTTCTCGTTGATAGAAAATTTTCGGGTTTTTCCGGAGTCGGGATCACTGAGGAAAAAGCCTCGGGAAAAAGCCTCGGGACCGGGGTCATGTAAAAGAAAAACTTCGGGCTTCGGGGAGGGTTTCGGGGCTACAAAATTGGACCCCGCTGATCTCTGTTCGCGATGTATTATATTTTCAACACCAAGTGATATTTTATATTCATCTCAAAGCGAAATGTGGTATTGTGATGGAACGTTTTATAATTCTAACAACTTGTTTTAGGCTTACAGTCAGCATACAAATATGATGAGAAGCTGCGCATATGGTTAGGTCATTTACTACTGTCACGTTATTACCACGTAATTACATGATATTTAGTTTTAATTACTTAATGCAAAATAAGCCAAATTATCCACAATTAACATCTTTTTTACAATATTTTCATGATATATGTGGTGCATATAGTAGTTGCTATCACCAACCCACAATCATTTTACGAACTTTTCACCACGTACTACCAATCATGTTGAAGGTCGCCATTTAAAACGGAACTTGGTGTATTCAATAGTGTCCGAGACCCTATGGGTGTCTCCTAGCCAAAACAACATCGTAAGCAACAAAAGGCTGAAAATCCTCTTCAAAAACTATGACAATGAACAAAAACTAGATATGGTTTCATTTTTAAATGCTGCAGGAACTAGATATTTCAAATATTTAGAGGGGTAGTACTCTGTTCATTTTGATTTTATTCTAAATCTTTCTCTTTGTTAATTGTTTGCATTCTGTTAAACTTTCTCCTTTCTTAATTAGATTAGCAATCAAGCTGTTTTTCTTTTCTAATAACTTTTTGCTCCACTTTTTATTATAGGGAACTAAATCGTACAGGCCCTATAAGACAATAGGAATAGGGCAAATAGGATGCATTAAAATTGTTTTTCGTAAACTTAGTACGTTCACAGGTTTTAAAGAGCTGTCTAATGAGTTCACAGGAGTTAAAAATTAATGCATGTGAACGCATGATTGCCTTTTAAAAACAAAAACGCTGCTATCATTCTAAGGAAATGTTCTTAAGAACTAAAAACACCTCCTTATAGAATGCTTACAAATGTTTTGAAGTTTTCAAAATATGTCATAACCTTATTCAGACGTATAGGAAAGTTTAGTTTTTTACTCAATAAATGTCGTTTCTTGCTCAGGATACCAGCTTCCTGGATTCGGCTAGATAAGAGCGTAGAGACGAAGTTACACGCAAACTATAGTATCCGTAACGCATTACTTATCCTTAGAAATGATTAGTTTTCCTTCGAGATAGCGCTTCCTTGAAGCTGACACTTGTACTTTCTGGTATACTCGGATCCAAGAAGCTGGTATCCTGAACAAGAAACGACATTTATTGAGTAAAAAGCTGAAGTTTCCTACAGGTCTAAATGAGCTCTCTGTCTGTAGAAAAAACGATAATCATTTTTATGTGCTACCATAGGAAAAAAAATCCAGTCCAGTACTTCTTCTCTGATGTCATTACGCGATCTTTGCCTAAATTTTGACTTTCGCATTGGTGATAAAACAGCCAAAATTTAAGGAAAAATCGCGTTGATGGTAATGGCATCAGAGAAGAAGTTAAAATCAAATTATAAACTTTATGCTGTCGGCATATTCATTTAATTTTATGTATAGATCTAAATTTTCTTGGTAATCCGTTCACCGCGGCAAAAGTGACCTACAGATCTTATTTTAATTTACTAGTCTATATCATACTTTCATACTTTTATATCTGTAACACTTATACTCCGTTAAGTGTTTTACCGCCTTTAGTCTCTTACTTAATTTAGTCTTTCACTCTCTTAGTCCTTTCCGTCTGCTATTCCCCTTACTTCTTCACTCCTCTTACTCCTTTTACTTTCTTATTCCCTTTGCTCCTTTTACTTTCTTATTCCCTTTGCTCCTTTTACTCTTTTATTCCCTTCACTCCTTTTACTTTTTCATTCCCTTTACTTCTTTTAGTCCGTTTACTTTCTTTACTTTCTTATTCCCTTCACTCCTTTTACTTTTTCATTCCCTTTACTTCTTTTAGTCCGTTTACTCTCTTTACTTTCTTATTCCCTTCACTCCTTTTACTTCTTTTATTCCCTCTACTCTTATTTAAGGTATTGTACAATGCCAATAATAATGGGTTCCACAATATACTAGATTTCAACTTTTTAACCTTAATAATTTACCTTCATAAAAACATTAGCAAGCATATCCCGATCGGTATGTAAAAATGTATCACGATCGGGATTAGGGATACACCGACAGATGAGCCTCTGACGTTTGAGCCCCGGCAAATGAGCCTCGACAGATGAGCCTACCGACACTTGAGCTCTTGACATTTCAGCCCCCGATGTTTAAGCCTCCCGATACGTGAGCCTTCGACATTTGAGCCTGTCGCAGATGGGCATTATATGACTTTTAATTTTTTAATTTCAAAAATTAAACAAAGCTCTTGCTCTTTTAAAATACTCCTTTCTTGTGTTTATGTTAAAAGTGGTAATTAACTGTTGTAGTTGTTCGAACCATTTGTTAAATTCGGCAGCTATTATTTCGTCTGGATTTGGTGCATGACTATGGTCAGTTAATTTAATATATTGTGTACCATCAAAAGTTACACGACCAGAACAATTATTTTTAACACAACGCCACGTAACTTGACTTTTATTTGCACGACGATAACGAAAACCATCAAGAAGAAGTTGATCTTTATCTTTAGAAGATTTTACAACAGACATTTTTAAGGAAAAGTAGGATAGTAGAATGAGCGATGTGTGTTCCTTACTCTGCGTATATATATATATTTAGAACTCGTTCGGAAGCCAAATTCAAATTTAATCAACTCATTATTAAAAAATAAATTATTAAATAACATTTTAATCAATCAATCAATTAGCCTGTTCGTTAATAGTATCGAACTCAGTCATATAATGCCTATCTGCGACAGGCTCAAATGTCGAAGGCTCACATATCGGGAGGCTTAAATATCGGGGGCTGAAATGTCAAGAGCTCAAGTGTCGGTAGGCTCATCTGTCGAGGCTCATTTGTCGGGGCTCAATGTCATAGGCTCAACTGTCGTGTCACCGGGATTAGGCATGCGCCGGTTTGTAATGGATTATAGGGCATTCAGCAAAGTGGTTCGAAATCAGTTGTGGAAAAGCACTTAGAGCTGCCAAATGTCTCATTTTGTAGAAAAACGTTTGCTCTACAAAACTGAAGTGCAAAAGGACATTTTAGTGTTATCTGTGACGGATACATAACCATCCCAAAACTGAGCAAAATTGCGATTATTTTTCTAGGATTTTAGTGCATATTCGATTTATTATATTTTCTCTATATATAACATTAAAAGTTTTCGAGTACTTCAGTTTGGTAGAGCAAACGTTTTTCTAGGAAATGAGACATTCGGGAGCTCTAAGTGCTTTTTTTATAACTGATTTGAAACGACTTTGCCGACTCACATAACTTGGATTAATCTTGAGTGAGTTATGAATTTTTCAATTTTACTCAAGAATAGGCAAAAATCGGATACACCTAATGTACGGTTTCACTAGGTTTTTGAAACTGTTTTGAAAAATAAACGTTACCACAAGATTCAACATAGTCCATAAACTGGAGTAAATGAGTAAAGTAGTAAAAGGGCCAAAAGTAGTAACCGGACTAAAACTAGTAAAAAACCAAAGCGATTAACAGTGCTAAAACGCCAATGTTATGATCTGCCTTCCTCGGCAGCTCATAAGGTTCATTCTCTCTCCATTCTGCTCTTATACCATTCTTGCGCAATTATGTTATAGCGCAACTCTTCTTTCATTCTTTCTTTTCGTTTCTTTCTGT